GGCATTCTGCTTTTTTGTTTAGTCGTATATATTAAATGTTTTCAACATTTACCTACAACAGTTGTGTTTTTTGTGACTGAAAGAAAATTATATCTTTATATCCAGCACCAGACATTAAGTCCACCCATGCATCCAAAACAACAATACAACGTTTTGACAGGAAAAAAATGTTTTAGATTGTCCTAGCCATTGTTCAGAACATTTCGGCGGTCATCTGCAGACAAGAGATGTCCTCACAATTTGTGGCATTTGAAGAATCTTAGGTGCAAATATCCCTAAATTCCTAATGATCAGTCTCCTGCGCTGAAGATCAAGCAAATACAGAGAGTACCTTTGGCAAAGAAAGGAGTTTTTATTTTTATTTTTTTAAAGAAACAAATTCTATAGGATTTATAATTGAAACTGGTCAAGAAGCCCGGGTGAAGAAAAGGCAGTGTAATGGTGCAACAGAAAGAGAGCACAAAAAAAAAAATGTGGTTTTAAAAAAGAATCTATGTAAATCTAAACAAAAACCAGTGAGTTTAAATACAGATGGTGAGCTCTACAAGACGATTGAACCACAGAAGCTGATCACTTCTACAGCCTCTCCCTCTCCTCTTGATGTCATCCTGGATAACACTCTGTCATTCAACTACAGTATCACATTAATAACATCAGCCGCTCTGCCTGTTTTCACCTCTGAAACAGTCGTTGTCTTCGTCCCTCTCATTCCCCACCGTCTGCTACCGTTGTCGTCCATAGCCTGGTCATGCAATGATTGCTGCAACTTTCTTCTTTTTAGTCTTCCTTAGAAATCCCTCCATAAGCTTCAGTTGGTCTAGAAATCAGCAGCTCAATTAGTTATAAACCCCCTCATTCCATCATATCACCCCAGTCCTGAAATACCTTCACGGGTTTCCTATCAGCTTCAGAATCGAGTTCACAATCCTCCCGTTTGCTTTCAAGGTTATCCATATGCTCCCCCATACCTCTCAGTTCCCCTTCAGATTACTACCCCCTCATTAGATCTTCCTCTTTCATCCACCTTGTTGAGCCTCCAGCCCCCCTCCTCACCATGGGGAGCAGGTCTTTTTTCCTGCTCTGCTCCCAAACTCTGGAATTCACTCCCATCTGATATTTGTTATGTTGAAACTTTACCTCTGTAGAAATCAAGGCTAAAATCTCATCTGTTCCAGACTGCAAACCTCCGCTGCCTGCCTCCACTGCTTTTAATATAGTGTATATTGTATGATAGTTTGTATAGCTGACTGTTTTACAGTGTCATTGGGTGTCCTGGAAGCCACTAAATGAAATGTATTATTATTTACATACAAATTTGTTTGCTTAAAATGGTGATTTTTTACCTTAAATCTTTCAAATCATATGAACATTTTTCAAATGAATTAAATCCTGCTGTATTTACGTGCTATAGAGTACATTCACTCTCTGAGTAGTGAGAAAAGATTAGTCCAGTCAGAGTAACTGCTGTTACTGGTTTACAGTCTCCAGACTGTATCAGGGTCTTAAAACTGGGTCAGCAATGACACGACCCTCGATGACAAATGTCTAGAGCTCTGTCAGGAATTTACACACAGTACGGTTTCCAGGAAGCAAAAATAGCCCTAAACGTAGGTACATTGGTAAACTGAGGAGCAGATCAAAAAAAGCTGAACCTAACTGTAAAATTAGGGCAACACATGGTCGCAGCACGTGCTCCTATCAGTACTGCTACCCGCTTGACTTCCTGGAGGTATGCAGTGTGCTTCCACACTTTGAATTGAGTGGCATTTTTATAGCCACTTGTCTTTTGTGGAGATCTTTAGAAAATGCATTTCTTTAGAGTTTTGAGGTCAGATCATCAAATTAAATGTAGTATGAAAAATAAAAACAATGATTCCTTTGGATTTAATGTCTTGTGATTAAATTTCACTTATCACACTCATGCCTGATTAATCCAAGAGATTGATGTAATTGATAATTTTGACATTTTCCATGCAAAAGGGAAAAAGCAACATTTAAGGCTATTCTTTTTCAGCCATCTTGAGGTTTCAGGAATTTATTTACAGCCAATAAACATCAACCGGATAATGTATGGGAAATTTGTGTATCTCTCAATCTAAAGCATTGTAGGCCTAATAAAAAAAAAGAAAAGAGAATGGGTAAAAAAAGCATATACTGAAGAGCTAAAAGGCCAAAACCACTGTGGACAAAAACAACACAAAGGCCTATTTCACTTTTACCAAACCATCCTGATTATTTTTGAAAGTTTCTGACCAGACTAAAGTGAAACTGTGGAAATCTTTCATCCTGTTATTTCTAGATGAAAAGTAACGTCATAAAAGCACAACTTAGAATCACCCTCGAGGTAATACCAAGAGGTGGAAGTGTGTCAGGTTACATTTCTGTTGCTCAATAACCTGCCATTTTGTACTCTTTAAGTTAATGCTGGGGGGAATGTCTGGCCATCAGTTTGTGACCCTGAGCTTAACCCTTTATATGGCAAGTTACCATTTTTGATCACTTGCCTTACTAATGGAGTCCCCCCTGTCCCGCAGTGAGGTCTAGAAGCACTAGATCTATATCCAGCCATTCAGCAAAGATCCGCCTACATGGCTGTACATCTTATTTTGGCATTTGACCATTTAGATTACCTACTGGAAATTAAGTTTAAAAATAAAAGTTAACAATTCAAGAAAAAAAGGTAACAAGCTAACTGAAAAGTTAAAAAGTAAAGTAAAGAACTTAATAAGCCTAGTTATCAATTGTATTTAGGTATAAAGTACCAAATGTCAGTGCCAGTATAAGCATTAATGCCTCTAAGGTTATGTTGGACCAAAAAAATGTGTTCCTTTCACCCTGAGTGTTTTTTTAATGAATTTCTTATAGAAGAACTTTTGTTATTGTTCTTAATATATAGGGGCAAGTTGGCGTTTCCTGCTATTAAATTGATATTAATTTTTGCTATCAAAATATCCATATTTTTTTAATGTAACAAAGGTAATAAGGTCTGGTCCTGGATTCCAGTAACACTATTGGCTGAAATTTTTGATTTTCAAAGTATTTCGCTGAGTGTCCTATAAAGGGTTAAGAAAACATGAAATAAGCAACAGGGCAATGCTCTGAAGCACACTGATAACTTCAACTCTGGCTCAAAAGAAGAGAAAGTTTTGTATCCTAAACTATATCAGGCCTTTCATGCTTTAAAAATCTGTCAAACTCCAAAGCAATTCAGCAAAAAAAAAAAAAAAAAATACCAAAGTTCATCCAAAGGAATGTAAAGGACTCTTTGTTAACCAAAAGGCGATATGGTAGTTTTGTCAGTAGACAGCTAACCCCTAGTCCTAGACATGCAAATCTGGATGTGCTCTGGCTCTCTTCCAGTCATGGACCTTGCACCCCCTCCATGTGCCTGGATACTTTACAGTAACTGCATAGGATCTGTAGTAAGCACTACTATAGAAGCTGTCCTCTTCAAAACTCAATAACTAATAAGAAAATCAAAGTTCACTAGTCCTAAAAAGTTTAAACAACGTTTATGAAACCCATGAACCATTTGTAGAAATACATTCTTCAGATAATAGCTGAGCGACGCTCGTGACAAGCCACACATGCTGTTTTTATCAAATATCCGAGGGAGCTTGAACGCACCGCATAGTGCGTCAACGGTGTTAAATTGAGCAGCAGAGTCAGTGAAGTTTCAGAGGGTCCAGTTTACTCCGCATGGTCTAATCAGACCAGCTGCTGTTCTCTGTGGAATTTTATTTTCTAATAAAATTTCCTCCTGATGACTCTGACTGAAGAACGACCGATGACTTATGCCAAAATGAAGGGGCTTGTCTCATTTATATCAGGTAGGACAGTTTTTAAAAGCTAATTAAAAGAAAAAAGTGCTTAAATTTGACCAGTTGCGTAGGAAAAGAAAATGTAAAATATTATTGTATAACTTAAGTACAATGCTTGTTACTTCTTATATTACTAACACAATAGTTTAGTACAAAATTGTGTTCTTATATTATTTTGCATTTCCAAAAAACTATTAAATTTGGATTTATGCTTATGTGACCTCAGTGACACCAACAGATTTCATTCAGCTCGTTTGATCTGACGTCATTGACTTTCTCCTCCCTCTGTCCTACAGATGTGCTGAAAGAGAAAAAAGTGGGCTTCAGCGATTTCTTACACAAAATTGTTTCCACACAGAAACCCTGCAAAAAGTAAGTTAAAAAATACATATATATATATATATATATATATATAATTTTGTTGTTGTTTTTTTTTTTTTTTTTTTTTTTTTTTTTTTTTTTTTTTTTTTTTTGTCCTGCTATTTAAATCAGAATGTAAGCCAATGTCTGCTTGACTTCCTTATTAAAGCTTGGATACCCAGAAACTACTGAAGAGACAAAACAAATGTAGGAGACGCAAGGAGGAAAAGGCTGATTCAGTGAGTTCAGATCATTTTAGAAGACACTGCTGTGGTGTAGACAGGGAATGAAACCCAACCCCGCCTTCTAACCCCCACCCTCTTCTGTGTCTTATTTTGTTTCAGAGGCCAGTGAACACAGAAACGTCAAAGTGAGTCAAGCCCCTCTGAAAGCAGTATTCTTAATAAAATAACTGTTATAGAGAAACCCTTTCTTTTAGTCAATTTAGAGGCGCAGTGAAGGTCCCCTAACTGTCTCCTAACCTTGTGAGCCCACATCACAGGTTATGGGATTAGTATTATAATGTTTTTCTTAGAATAACAAAAACTGTTATTTTATCTTGTGGTTTAATTTTGTTTTATTATCAGATTATCTGTATACACTTCTACGAAGAATTCATTGATTTCTTGTTTCTTACAACTATCTTCTGCCAATGTCTTAATCAGGGTGAACCCATCAGACTTTGACTACCTCAAAGTTATTGGCACAGGAAGCTTTGGAAAGGTATTTTTATCCATTTACCTATTTTTTTATTTATGAAAGTTTGGCAATAATAACTGAAATGACGTATATAACAGGTGTTGCTGGCAAGACACAGGAAACATGGAGGTTACTACGCAGTTAAAGTTCTGGACAAGCAGATGATCATCCAGAGGGAAGAGGTTTGTCTTTTTGTTTTATGGTGTATATTTTTCCATCTTGATGCCTGCTTGTTTATCTAATTGGTTATGTGTCTGCAGCAAAGGCATGTGATGGTTGAAAGAAATGTACTCCTGAAGGGACTAAAACATCCATTCCTGGTTGGGCTCCATTTCTCCTTCCAGACACCAAAGACTCTTTACTTTGTCCTGGACTTTGTAAATGGAGGGGAGGTATGTGGATTCAAGTAATCCAATGTACAAACTCTGTCTGAAAATGTGCAGGGAGCCTTCATGTCTGTTTGTTAAACCCTTTCTTTCAGCTGTTCTACCACCTGCAGAGAGAGGGTTCATTTTCAGAGCCCCGAGCTGCTTTCTATGCAGCAGAGATAGCAGCTGCACTCGGCTACCTTCACTCTTTGAGCATCGTTTACAGGTGAGAAAACAGTTAAAAACAGATATGAAATAAATATTAGAATTTTATGAATTATAAAAATAAGTAAAAGGACAGTTGGGTAGTAACTAGTTACATTAACTTTACAAATTTTTTGACAATAATATATATTTAGGAGTAGTTTTAATGCATCATAGTTTTTACTATGAATAATATCTTTTTGAGTGTTTGGTCTCTCTATCCTTTGTGAGTAACTTGTCGTCTGTTTTAAATAAAAGCACTCCATACAATGATATACAGTTATGGTTTGTGTTAAATTAGTGTTCCTTTTTCGCTGCAAAAAGTTAACTCAATATCTGATCGACCTGGATATTAAAGGATAAATATTACTGGAGGTATTTGAAACTGTAATAACATGTATACATTACCTACTGGGAGGACTAGCTTTCTTCATTTTAAAGTAGAAAATAAAGTGTTTCTTTTGCCTAGATTTATTATCAATCATGGTATTTATTTGTTTTATAATCATATTATTATAGTATTATTTGATGCTAAATGCAAAGTTATAGGGAATTGGGATCTTTCAAATTTCAGAACCTGGACATAACTTTACAAATTTTGCACGCAATAGTGAATCAGACGTAATCAGTTACTCAGTACTTGAGCAGCATTTTTACAAATAGTTTTTTACTTTTACCTGTGACTTTTTTTAAATTTTATTTTATCCATTTATTTTTTTTAGTTAGTTCAAATTTTGGGTATTCTACCCACCTGTGACCAAATCAACCAAATGGTAGCTAATGTACCAGATATACTTGGTAGGAATATAGATCCACATAAATCCCTGATTTTAGGTCAGTCGTTGTTAATGTAAAACAGTTTTTTTTTATTTTAAACCAATTAATTTGCCAAATAAGTTACCTAAATGGTTATTGTGTCCTTATATGAACTATAGTTTAGTCTGAAGAACTTGTTCAGGGAAATGGATGCCTTCTATCAAGGACTTTGTATTTTAGTAAAAGTGAAATATTGCTGGAATGTTTTGATTAGAACAGAACATGAAAAAATAAAAACAGCTTAAGTATTTTTCCAAAATTATATATCAATATAATTTTTGAATGAAAAAAACATAAATTACTGAATAATTGAGCCTAATGATAATAACTTCTTGCCTGATAAATGTTGGGTTACTTAATAATTTTTAGGATAATTACCTTCAGAGTTTTAAATTCTTCTCCTAGTTGTAGACTGGATACACATCTCATCTGTATGTATTTCTGTACAGAGACCTCAAACCCGAAAACATCCTACTGGACAGCGAGGGTCACGTGATGCTGACAGACTTTGGTCTTTGTAAAGAAGGAGTTGCTGTTGGTGGGATGACTCACACCTTCTGTGGGACCCCAGAGTATCTGGCTCCAGAGGTTCTGCTGGGCCAGCCATACAGCCCAGCAGTGGACTGGTGGGGACTTGGAGCTGTGCTGTTTGAGATGCTGTCTGGACTGGTCAGTCTCATTGGGTTAAAGTGCCTCAGGGTGGGCGTGGGGTTCACTTCCCTCCTCTGCCTTTTGATCTTACCCTATCATCCTGTTTTCTCTTTCCAGCCTCCATTTTACAGCCGCAGCAGACTGGAGATGTTGGAAAATATCCTCTACGCTCCACTGCGGCTGCCCAGCGGCCTGTCTAAAGGTGCCCATTCCCTATTAAAGGGGTTGTTAGAAAGAAACATTTCCAAGCGGTTAGGCCAGAGGCTCGACGTTGTAAGTGTGCAAACAGAACATAGAGAAATAACAGTGTGTAAAAAGGCGCAGCTCAACAGGAGCTCATGTCTGTTGTGTTTTCAGGAGGAGCTGAAGGGGCATCACTTCTTTGCTTCCATCAACTGGGACGACCTGGTAGCCAGAAAACTGAGGCCTCCGTTCATCCCTAGAGTGGTATGAAGAATTCAGAGAATGAACAGAACTTCTATCTGTAAGGTGCAGGTTTGATTCTTTTTCTCTTTTCTAGTCGGGTCCTTGTGACGTGTGCTACATCGCTCCTGAGTTTACGCAGCAGCCTGTCCCTGTCCCCGTGAACGAGAGGGTAGAAGCAGCTGCAGCCAGCGCAACATTTCCTGGATTCTCCTTCATGAACCCGGCGGAGTACATGGCAGCAGAGGCAGTTTCATAATGCCACCACATCCTCTGGGAGCATGATGGTTTAAATATTAACTAAGTTATATTTTATTTATTGGATTGTCCTTTTTTGTACCTGTACAGAATACATATGCCCTAAAATGGCATGTTTTATTAATTGCAATTAAATAAATTGTGACATTTGTTAAATTTTTGAGTTGCTTATTGGTTAAAGTCAGGTTAATGTTTCAAATATCTTTTATGTAACTTGAACCACAGAGGGTTCGTATACAGGGATAACAAGAACGCAGGTCTAAACAGGTTTATTTTTAAAATATGTTTATAGTTTTGATTGCACAGATCCCATTTTGCAAATACATTCACTTAATACAGCATATCTTACTGGCTTTCTTAACACTGAATACTTTGAGACGGAAGCAGAATACATGATAAGCAAAATAGAGACAGCTCCAGCATTTATGGAAAAACAATTCAATGCTATTCTTAGAACAAATACAAACAGGATCTACTTTGGGTTGTGACAAAAGAGTTCAGCTGTTTCAGAAATTGAAACAGATTTATCACACAAGGGGATACTCTTTCGGATGACTATGACTTGCAGTTAGATAAAATACAAAAATAAAAGACCAATAAAAATCATTTTCAGCACAGAAATGCCATAGTTTATACCAGGGGTCTTCAACTATTGTCCAGCATGATGATGTTTTCCTGCCTCCACACAACTAACTTTGATAAAAGGACGGACCTGCATGGTCTACACAGTCATGGGGAAGACAACTGACCTCCAGAGGTGTAACCCGATAAGGATTGTTAAAGAGGTTAGCTGCTTCCATACTGCTGCGTCCAAGTGTATCAATACAATATTTAGTGCAAGATAGATTATGTGCACTTGAATGGTGGTCGTGCAGAAAAGCTCATTTAAGAATTTGGGGAATATTTAAAGACTGAGCTGCAACTGGAATCAGCCTCAAAAGGACCACCACAGATAGACAGTATGAAGGACAGGAGCTACAACTCTTCATCATATCCTGTTGTAAAGTCACTCCTAAATCAGAGTTAGTGTCAGCAGCTTCCTTTGGCTTTTCTAGGCAAGGACTAAACTGGTACTTTACTGGTATTGGGTTATGGCAAACTTTTTTTCATTGTTGAGGTCCTTTTAATTACAGGTGCAATAAAAAAATATGTGTTAAAGTGCAACATGTTTGCCAGCTGTTTCCTTTTTGTTTCTTATAACTGTGATGCGTATTGCTTACAGGTAAAGAGGAAATTATCAGTGAATCATGCAGCCATTTATCAGAAAATTTATGCACAATTCATGCTTCTCTCTGCTGTGGAGATGCTGATTTTCTTTTCTGATAAACGTCTGCTCTCACTACCTAGAGAATCAAAAGCTGGTTTGATGACCATGTTGTTCCTGTCTGGTCAGTGAACTACCTTGATGTGAGCCCTGTAGATCACCTGTGGGTTGTTATTGAAAATAAGCAATTTGGGGATTTGTTTACCTGTAGCTACAATAATCTAAATTGCAAGAAATAGTGTTTTGCCATTTTTGAATCTGTGTATCATTTTTTTTTTTATGAGAGGCAGAAAATATTGCACTCCTATGCAATATTGTAAACTGTTGAAATGTATATTTAGATACTTGAGAAAAAGATACAATGACTGAACTATAAGCACAAAATATAAAGCTGCCTTTCTCCCCACATATTGCTGCAGACTTTTAGTGAGTTGCTTAGGAAAAAAAAAAGTATTTTTGTCTCTAACAAGAAAAACGGGTTGATTACAAACACTTATGGTTGCGTAAATGTCTGGAATGTCGTCGTGTGGAAACAGAAAGTTTATATAAGTAGTAATTTGTAAAAAAAAAAAAAAAAAAAAAAATTCTTAGGTTTTCTATTTCAGTTAAATCAACTGGTGTCCCAAAGTCAACAGGATGAATACAAATGATAGATTAACTTTTTTGATTGTAAACTAATTAGCTGCTTTTCTGGCTTGTCAGTAGTAGCTGAAGGTGGCATAGCTCTGCTCGCTTTGGCATGTGAAGTAAGCTATCAGTTGACCGTTACAAATCATCAGAAACAAGCCGCTTCCTGTGGAGAAAGTAAGACAGAAAATGAATAAACAACACTGAGGCGGGAGGTTTTTATCATTTGATTAATTTGTTGCTCTCACCTAAAGCCAGCCACCACTGCCATACTGTAGGAAACTCTAACATCACTGCAAAGTAGAAGCAAAACATGCCATCACACTACAGGTTTTGGGATTCAGGTGTGCAAACAGGTAGATGTAGTTTAGGGTTCTTGCTCACCCAGGCTGGTGATTATTACATGGAGAAGTGTGACGGTGAGGGCATAGTCCCAAACCCTCCTCCTCACCACCGCAGCAAACAGAATACCACTACAGAAGTATGTGAGCTCCAAGGAGAGAAGGTTGACTGGAGGAGAGAAGAAAAGTGATGAAATCCATCATGTATACAAATCGGACCCTCAGGGCCGTAGATGATCATACTGGCCTCATGTCATGTGCCCACCCAGGTATTTGGAGTTGGACTCAGCAGGTTCAGTTTTGAAATCAAAAGGAATCAGCCCGTCAAATTGATCCAATCTATGAGGAAACATTAAGAGTGAAAGTCTTCTGTTTTTATCATCTACAGTAAACTCAAAATAGATCTCAGTATGTAGAGTATTTTACAATAAACACTCTACTTTATAAATGGCTTTTGATAACTCTTAAATATATATATATATAAATAATGGAAAGACTCACACGATTAACACAAAAGAATAAAAACTTGCAAAAGACTGGGAAATATGGACAATGTATGAGTGATTCCAGAAGGATCTTATTTGCTTGTTTTCAATTTCACATTACTTTTATTTATTATACCCTGTTATTTGTTTACTATTTTTGAGATTATTGTTTTTAATCCATACTGACTTTTGTTAAATTGCAATATGTAATAAGGGTAGACCAATAACAAAAATAGGAAAAATAATTTTAAAAATATGATGCTTATGTTTGCCACAAAAAATAATTCAAATTTAAAAGGAAACTATATCTTAAAAAAAAAAAAAAAGAATTTTCTGTTCAAACAGATTTTTTTTCTTTCTTTCTTGTCCGTGTTGACAAAGTCAATTTTTCTTTAATTTTGTGGAGAACTTAATAAAATAAATTACAATATTTAGAAACTGGGATGAAATTAAATTAAACATAATATCCCATAGTATTATGACTACCTTAACATAAAAATCCATCTTTAATGAGATAAAAGGAAAGCCGCATTTAGTCCTACCCTATATTATTAAGCTTTTATTACTATGTCATAATCTTAGGTGGAAAAAATACGAAATGAAATCATATTATAGAACATTTATCAGGTGGGGAAAATTGTTTTCTTTTTGTTAAGAGATATGTTAAGAAATAATTGTTAAAAAAACACATATCTGGGGCGAAAATACATCTAACTTTCCCTTTACGTTAAATGTTAATGCTGTGTATTTACTTTTTTTTAAATCTTATCTATTTCAGCTTATGCTTAGATTTTCAGCAACAGTCAACATGGGTCCGATCTGAAAAAAAGGTTCAAAATGAAAAAAATAAAATAAAAATCACCTCACACTTACTGTAAGGTGGAGGATCTGTGATGATGAGGGCCTGTTTCTCTAAAAACCCTCCGAAACTTGATAAAATATGGATTTGTCAATATTTTGAAATAGTAGAGGATTCTGAATAAAAATAGGTGGAATTGACGAGTGAACAATTAATTTGAACGTAAATGTATGGCTAGTTAACGCCACTGTCTTTATGCCTGAGCCTTGTAAGTTATCACACAAAAAAGTTATGTGATGTCTTTTCCAATATTTTTTTTCAAGGCTGCACTTTTAAAAAAAAGATGAAATTTTCCAGAGAGCTGTTCCAAACGAAATTTCTTTTTGTTTTAAACTGGTGTAAACAAAATGACAAATAAAATCTGTCTAAGTCTAAGTCTTTATCAGAAGTATATGGTACAATATTAAAAGCAAAGGCCCTAAACTGTTTTTTCCTACTGAAAATAATATTATTCAAATGAAAAGTTTTATTTTTTATTATTATTTTCATTTCTCATTTTAGGGGTGATATTAGGGAACTAGATTATTTTAGTTAATGGCATACCTTTATTGGGGTTTCTACTGGTAATACATATGTAACACCAAATTAATAATCTAATAGGGCATTTAGATGCTGCTGTGGAAAACGTGAGTTAAGTGAGGCAAAGATCCATAAAAAGACCTCATATATTAAATTAACTAAAACGCTGTTGTTGCTGTTGTTGTTTTTTTTTTTTTACTAACCTGTTTTAACATTGATTAATTTCCTTTTTTTCCTGTTTAATAACTGATTAATTAAATGTGTCTTTTTTGCAAAAAGGGGAGCATGCAGGAGCCTCACTGCTGCTTAGCTGCCTATATTAAGTAGGTTGGGCTTGTGGTTTTACGCATGCGTGTGACGCTTCTACTACCTGAAAGCTCCGAAGCAAACACTCCCGATCATGTAGAAAAGGGAATAAAATATGAGCAGACACAGCAGCAGATTGATCAGCACGGTCTGTGGTGGAGAAAGACAGAAAAAACAAGGCTTATTTATTAACAACATCCCAGCAGTCAGCAATGCCTCCTGCCAATCTGACCTGAAGCTGAGCATGCACATTTTAAAAGGTTGCTGTGCAGAGAGGGATCCTAACCCATTGGCAGCAGCTGGCCAGCTGCTGATCCGATGAACGAATCAAAACATTCAAATATGTCGCATGATCCTAAACCAGGACGGGTTGCATTATTCCCTCTGTCCATACAACCAGCCCTACACTTCAGCACAAGGATTGTACGCAAACAGCAGCACTCACAATCTATTGCTTCCTACCTTTGAATCGACCGCTGTGCCTTTGAATGCCATTTCACATCTTGTTGATTTGTTGTTGCTTACTATAATACAGGACGATGCAATCTGCAATGTGCCGTTAATCCTATGGAAACTGGATCACTTGCGCCATCTAGCGAGCAAATATTATAAGGACCGCCGCTCCGCCGCTTTTACTCCCAAGATGTGCTCATTATCACCGCGTCATGAGTATTTACCCAATAGGGTATGAAATATGAGGTCTTATAGATACCTAGTTCTGAATGCCCTAAATAAATAATCTATCTATCTACCTATCTATCCCTTAATTCATCTGGCTTCATCTTTGAGGGCTCCATTTCGTAACGTTCGTGCTTACTCCATAAATAAAACTCCAGAAGCCATTGACTGAACCTCCGTCCACATCACACGTTGCACATGCTGCTCCTACTTGTTGACACCGTGTCCTTTCCTCGGTGAAATACTGAAGTCCAGCCAGCCTCCGCATCGGAAACGAAAGTCAAGCCAGCCTTTTATTGGTCACGCATACGCTATGAAATACGGTACCAACCCTGGCATGGACCTTTCAAAGTAAAACCGATCATTTTAACGTTTATTAACTAGAACTAGTACATACACACATATTCTGGTCTAAAAATTATTTGTTATGTGTTTCTGTGAATATGGATATGTGATAAAGATTTTAGTTAGTGTTCTACACGGTTAATTTGTGCACTTTCTTTTAGAATGCTGATGCATTTTACCTAAGTTTCAGTTGTTATTAAACCAAAACTTTGTTTCCAGTTACTGATTTCAATTAAGGGTGACAGTAGGACACCTTTAGCAGCTTTTTCCAAAGGTGATAAAGGGTTGATGTGGGAAAATTAAAGCATTTCAAAATCTGTAAAATTGGGGATTTAAAAAAAAAAAAAAAAAAAAAAAAAAAAAAAAGTTTCTGTGAATATCACCAAGAATCTCCATGTTTCAAATTACTGAATTCACTTCAGGGTGGCAGTGGGGCACCCCTAGACACTTCTGACCAGAGGTTATGAAAGTTTTATGTGGAATTTCAAAACTAAAGCCTTTCGAACTCTGTAAAACATGTCTATTTTATTTAAATTGCTGTCAACCCTGTTAGTGTGAATATTTCTGATAAACCCAATGTTTCAGGTCACCAATTTGACTTCAGGGTGACATTAAGGCACCTCTAGATGCTTATCATCAATGGTCATCCATATCTGATGCTGAGTTTCAAAATAAAGCCTCTCAGATTTTGTAAAATTGATCAATTTTATCTGTTTCTATAAATATTTGTGAGTAACCCCTTGTTCACAGACAGTTGGACAACCCTAGTAACTGGTAAGCAGTTATGTCCTCCTAGCTCCTTATGATATCTACAAATGTCATTAAGATCTAATGTGAAATTTCACAATAGCATCTAAAAAAAACAACTCTAAATATGGTCACTTTTATCTAAGTTGTTAATTTGTATATCATGAATGGCCCAGGTTAAGTGATTAAAAACAGAGCAAGAAAAGGTTTGATATTTTCTAATGTCCTGGAGAGGGCAGTTTTGACACGGGTCCAGTTACTGAAAAAGAAAAAAAAAAGGCTTTCTGATCCCCTACAGTTATTATTTTATTCAGAAGTGATTTGCGAAGTTAATTTTTCATTTATTTATTTTACAGAATACATCTAAAGCTTTGAGATATTATGTTTAATTTGAAAATGTATGAAGGATAAATGGCTAGAATGCCTGTTGACACAATGGACACCACTGATGATTAATCCTGAAATTCTGTTTTAGATTTAGCCCAGAAGTATTAAAGCTACGGTCCTCCTGCAAAAGGACTAACTGGACCAATAACCAGAAGCTAAAAAAGGACCTGGACATCAATACAGCTAAACAAAATGAAACTAAATTAGTGAACCCAGAACTTTAACCACCAACTTTCAGCTACCCCTTTTGGAAGTGGAAGTTTTACTTTACCATGCTCATGGAAACACAATACAGATTTTAAGAGGTTTTAATTCTGAAATCCCACAAGATCCCACAGACCTTGATGAACTTTGATGAAAAGTATCTAGGGGTGCCCTACTGTCACTATGAATGGAAATCAGTAAACAGGGAGTTTCTTCACAATAGTCACAAACACAAAAAATATCCAAATTTTAGAGATTTTAAAGGGGTTTAATTTTGAAATCCCACATTATACCTTCATGATATTTGGTGAGAAGCATCTAGGAGTTTGTTACTGCCACTCTAAAATGAAATCAATAACTAAATAAAAGAGAGTTTCTTAGAAATATTGACAGCAACACAGAGAAAAGTGACTAATATCACATATTTTGAGGGGCTTTAATTTTGAAACTAAACTATGACCTTAACCTTGGTGAGAAGCATGTAGGGGTGCCATACTCTCTCCCTGAAATGAATTCTGTAACTGGAAATAGGGAGTTTCTTAGCAGTACTTACAGAAACATAGATAAAAGTGAACACCTTTACAAGCTCTGAGAAACTAAAGTTTGAAATACCACAGGAGACCATGATATTGGATGAGATAATCTCACTCTTAAGTGAAATCATTAACTGGGGGGGCAATGGTCACAGAAACATTGTAAAAAATGCAAATTTTATTTTTGAGAGGCTTTAATTTTGAAATTTGACAACAGATCTTAATCATATAGCATGTAGGGGTGTTCTATCATCACTAGATAAAAGTGACCTATTTTACCATTTAGACCTTGATTAGCTTTGGTGAAAAGTATCTAGGGGTGTCCTACTGTCAACCTGAAGTGGAATTAATAACTGGAAACAGGAGATTTCTTAGTAATAGTCATGGAAAATAGATAAAAAATCTCCAATTGTACAGATTTTGAGGGGCTTTAAATTTTAAATTCTTCATCAGACCTTGATTACCTCTGGTAAGAAAGATGCAGGGGTGCCTACTGTACTCCCTGAATTGAAACTTAGATAAAATAAAAGGGCACTCAAAAATAAAGTGCACAAATTACCATGTAAAACACTTACTGAAAAAAAGTATATTAAAACCATATTCATATATCCATATTCAAATTTAGACTAGAGAAGTGTGAATTAACTTATTCCAGTTGATAAACGTTAAAATTGTCGGTTTTGTTTTGAAAATTCCAAGTCAGGGTTGGTACCGTAATTCATAGTGTATGCGTGACCGATGAAAAACCATTGGAAAGTCGGTCGTTTCTGAAGTAGAGGTTGGATTGAGTTCGGCACCCAACTAGCCTATACATAAAAACAAAAAAAGTAGCGTGTTTTTCCCCTTAATAAATGCAAACAGATGAGCGGTCGAGAAAAATGTTTAAGAGAATAACTTAATTGCTTTTTACTCTGCAACTTATTTTGCTGTTGGTAGGGGCTGTTGCCTGGGAACACCCCCTTCTGAAAAGCTACCTAATGTTGTTAGACGCTTTTATTTTTATTTTATTATTTTCATTTTTTATTGGAGTTTAATAGAACATTTTCATTTTACTACTCGGTTTTATCAGCAGTTACGAATTGCATGCTCCGCCGCTCCGATATTGTGAGGGAGAAACCTAAAAACAAGTTGGAGAGATTGATTCCAGACGTTGGTTGTTCTTTGGCACGAAATGGAAGCAGGAAAGGACGTAAGCGTCAGTGTGACATTATGAATTAGACATGAATTGAAGCCATTATGATTTCTTATTAGGAACTCGATGTTTTTTTTTTTCATCTTTGATTTAGTGTATCCATTAAGCGCAGTTATGTCATGCGCATGGTAAATGTATTAAAATAGGATGATACACTAAATATTCGCTCGGTTTTGGTAAGAAGTATTACTTAAACTGCTGAGATCCGTTTTTCCTTCTGCCGGGGGCATCAAAATGAGCTGTTGAACGGGGGATTGGTGGTAAAAACAATGATACAAGGTCGCTTTAAGCATAGAGGAACCAAACGCTCCTCAATGGGAGCCGCTGCGATTCCTGTCTGCGCTCCATTGATACACACTCCTGCTTGGTGTAGCAGGAGGAGAGGGGAGCATACTTTAAACGCCCTTTTCATGGAAACGGGGGAGATCGAGTCTCCGTGAAGCTGGCAGTATTCATCAAGTCAGCCCCGATTAGAACTCTGGGCGTGTTGCGAGCGAACTTAGGCTCGCCCAAAGCGATCTGAACTTTTCCCGAGACCCAAACTTGTCAGGCAGCCGCATCTTGCGCGCATGCGCACTGTTCTTATCCAGCTCTAAATAAGAGTTAAAACAGAAACGAGGTGAGTTCCACAATTTTTCCTTATCAAAACGGCCGTTAGTTCTTCTTCATTCTGACTAACGTAGGCAAAAATATAAAAACCCGATTTTAGATTGACTAGTTGGTGTGTTTTTTTACGTGATTTCCACTTTGATTTAAAACGGCGTGAATAAATCGTTTTTTAAGTTTCTATTGAAGAAATTAAGCATGCAAAATTGTTTAATCTAATAACAGCGACGTAGTTTTATCGATTGTGCTTTTGTGATAGTCTTTAAAATATTGGCTTTTTTATATAGTTATTAACAGGTAAACTTATTTATTACAGATTGTCCTTAGCTGGCTGCATCCAGTCACAATGCTACGGCTAGCTGTTTAGCAGTCGTCCGTTCATTTCTACGGAGCGGTGTTGTGCTCAGAAAAGTACCCCAGCCGTTTGACGCACTCCCGATTTAGAACCGCTTTGTTGCGCATTTGTTTTCATACATGCATTCCGTAAAACTCTGTGATGACAAAGTTAAAAAACATTTCTCAGTCAGTTCCACCCAATTCATCGGCCCGAATCAGTGCTTTGAAACCGGGATTTGTTTTGACGGTTGGGGTGCATTTTACGACACAACACCGGCGCTAGCCGACTGTTAGCTTTGGCTAGCTACCGTAGCAACCTGGGCTGACATTCCGTGACAAGGAGAAAGTGAAGAAAAACGGACAGAGTCAATGAAAACACTCAGTCAGGAAATTACAGAGGAAGCCTTTCCTTTTGTTTGACGCGTAGAAACCTTGAACGATTAGTTTAAATGGGCAACTTAAGTAATTAACATAGTTTAAACATGTTGGTGGCCTCTTCCTATGCTCCGCCATTTTGTATAGGGCGAATGCTAATCATGGGCGCTCTTACATACACTTTATTTATAGCTAGAATAAAATTGAGGCATCAGCTGCAATGGGAAACCCAACCAGGACACACATGCCCTCACTGTTGTTTACTTTGCGCATGGTTATGTCAGCGTTGCAAACAGAAAATATGACCTTAATTCAGTGTTGAACGTGCGTCAAGTCAAAAAGGTTTAATCGTAATAAGATACGTTTTTAAACGCTTTTAAGTTTGGACAGTCAGTGCATAAAATAGTGTTCTGTGTGAAATCAATGGACATTTTGCCATTTTACCAGCTCGCCATCAGACAAACTGCCGTCTTTAAGAAATACCGTTAAAACGTGGAAAAGACGAACTTTTGTGATTAACTCAAACTTGATATGCATTTTCTCATATTTATCAGCAATCTTGACAAGTGTTTGTCCCAACAAGGTCATTTGTTTGCGTATTTGCCCCTTAGTTGACCAGCAAAACAATATTATTATTGAGTGTTTTGTCTGAAACAGAAGTGCATGGTGTACCATTGCAAACCTGCGCACGCTCGCCATCTAGCGGTGATGTTGGGTATCGCTGTTTACAAATGCAGGTTAAATCTGCGTTTTGTTCTTTGGAGAGACCAAAAGCTGACACTGTCTGCCCCACAAACAAACACACATCGATATTCCAATTAAATATCAAGTCTTCTAATAGTCAGATTATTGAAGTTATTCATTTATGTGGAAACCATCGTTTTTCAGGTAGGTGATATCAGAGGAGTGGGAATGACTGACACTCCGCCCAGTGATGGACCCTCCCAGGGAGCTGAATTTGACATGATGGGTGCTCTGGACTGGAAGGATGGCATTGCCACACTGCCAGGCAGTGATATCAGGGTACACATTTTTACTAACATATATTTATAGTGTTTTAGAAACCTAATAAAACCTCTTTTTTTTTTTTACCTTACCACCACAAATGGATATTCATTTTGTTGTCATGTAATTCTAAAGACCAATACTGAAAAATTAATGAGAGAGAAAGAGTAATGATATGTTATTTTAAAAATGAAGTGGCTTACTTTTGTATTAATACACAATGTGTTGGGTTCTTTGCTGCAGTAACATATGCAACTACTTTGGGATTTTTCCTACTAGCTTTGTACATCTGAAGACTGGAATCTTTGCTTATTTTTCCTAGAAAAATATGTTAAGCTAATTGATTCATTCACTGGATGGAGAGCAGCAGTGAATATACCTTTGCAAATTGTTATAATGCGTTTAGGTCTGGACTTTGACTAGGTCATTCTAACGTGCATATGCTTTCATCTAAACTAGTACAGTGTAGCTTAGGTTTTATGGTTAGAAGTGTCGGCCATTCTGACAGTGAGTCTTTTGCAGTCTATAACAGCATTTTTGTTATATGCTGTTTTTTGTATTTTTAGCTCCATCTTTTAATCAGTTCTGGTCGACTGATTAATCCCCCTACAACATGATGCTGTTACCACCATATACTGCTGGGATGATGGGTTTAAGTTAGAGTATTAGTTTTCCTCCAGACAGAGTTTTGCATGAAGGCCAGAAATCTTAATTCATATAGTCTATATAGTCTGTGGATTCCCTGTGAGGGAAATGTCCTTTTTGCCACCCTTCTATAAATGCCACATTTGTTGAGCTCATCAACAGATGAGTAATGGATCTCTGCTGCTGCTCCTGAGTTACCATAGAAATTTTGCTTCTTTTAAATAACACCTTTCTTTACCAAACTGTCAGGTAAAATCTGTTCTCTAGGTAGATTTGCTGTTTAACAAACTGATTCCCTTTTTTTTTTTAAATGACAGATTAAAATTTTAATTAGAGAACAACTGATAGTTCTTTTTAAGGCTGATACCGATTATGTTGGAACTAACAGTTCCCTGATATGTGCGCCTGATTCCTTCAGCCGATGTTGCTCTTTCTTCCTTCGTTCGCCTAATAAATGTGACACAATGATGAAAAAATATTGAACAAGTTTTGTTTTAAACAAAAAGAAATGTTTATGAACAAATAAAACCAAACAATAATGGATAGCAAAAGCAAAAGGAGGGATCACCAGTAATGCGGTTGGCCAGTCCAGATTATTTTGACGTCAGTGGTCTGCATCCTGTGGCTATATAGACCCTCTGCAATGACTCTTAATATTGGCTAATTGGTTTTGAACACAGTTTGATAAATACTACTACTAGAGATTTCAGGTTTTATTCTAAATATTTAAAATTTTCACAACAGAATTATAAAAGAAACAAATACATTTTCCATCTTTTCTTCTTATAATTTACTCTTAAAGTTTTTCCTTTTGCTTTTTTCCCCCCAGCGTTTTCCCACAAATATTCTGAAAATTAGAATAATGCAGAATAATACTTTCTCTTCATGAAACCTTTTTGTTTTTCCTTACCTATAAGTATAAAAATCAACAGTTTTTTTTTTTTTTAAAGGCAACAGGTTTCCTATAGCAGATATTTTACAAGAAGAGGTTATTTTTATCAAAAGGTCATGTATTATTTGTGGCTATAAACAACTTTATTGAGCTGGTCTCAGGGTAAATTGGCGCTTTGAATTTTAAAGGTTGCAAAGTCCCGGTCTAAACAATCCCACATATATTCAGCCATTATTTTTTTGGCTAATTTTTAGAGCACATATTGCTTTACCTTCCTCCACTTATATAATAAAAATGGCACAATGACAATGATAATGATAATGAAGTCTCAGTTTAAAAAAGAAGAAATCTTTTGAACAAATCAAACGAAACCGTAATGATGGATAGCAAATGCAGGGAGCAGCAATGCATGTCCTTTACATGGCCTCATGTCTTAGCTGCTGAATGTAATGAATCGCCAAATGCCTGCATGTATCGACTAATACACTGTCTGAGTCATTGGCCTATCTCTTTCTGGAATGTTCAAAGCTTTAGATATTGCTTTATAACCTAGCCATGCTTTAAACCTCTCGACATCTTTTTCTCTAACCTTTCTGCAGCCGGCCTTGGTCTTCATGGTGTTCTTTGTTCAAGAGCTCAATGTTTTTTTAAGCAAATTTCTGAAGGGCTCTACAACACAGTTAGATTAATACTGGGATTAAATACGAACAGGATGACATTATTGACCAATAATTCTGAAGGGCGTTGGTTGCTTTGAATCATGTTTGAGTTTTAGAGAAATGAGGAGTTGATGCATAAAGTATATTTCTGCTCTTATGCTCCTTTTGTTTGAATGTTTTTTTAATCGTTTGTTAAGTACATAATATCCAGATTAAATACCTGGAAGGTTATTTCAAAAGGTAGAGGAAAAAGTTAAGGGCATGTGAATACTGTCATTTTTTAAATTTTGTTCAAAGACATGTAATTAACTTCATTCATCACTTCATAATGACTTTGTCTTGTAAGGGTTTAGCTTAGCTGACCAGGAACCAAAGAATCTGAAGTTCTGATGATTATATATGCTGGTTTCTCTCATTGTTTCAGTTCCGCATGACAGAGTTTGGGACCCTAGAAATTGTCACAGACGTTGAGGTCAAAGGGCAGGAGGCTGAGCCTCATCGTGAGACCTTGAACCCAGTGCGGTCTCACACTCCCACCCCTCCACCAGAAGTCCAAAAACAGGCCAGCATGGCCGCAGCACTGGTCCCTCTGGGCAAGCCAGGCTCATCCCAAGCTAAAGGTATGATGGTCTCTGTTTTTACCACTGTTACTGTGAGGAACAAAAGTTCAAATTTTATAGAATTACCAATTCAGTCAATCCTCTTATATTGTATGTTTGAGCTGCTGGTGCTTTGCTGGTGTTTTCAGAGGAGGACCGCGGTATGGAGGTTGGCCCCAGGGCCAAAGCTAGTTCTGGGACAGACACAGGTCCAAATGGGGAGCTGTTAAGGTGTCGGGGCTGTGATGGCCATGTTTCCAGGCACGCTCTTATCGAAGGAAAATACTGTGGTTCTTGTGTTCATCACTGTAGTGGCAGGTAAACAACAACAAAAAAGAATAAAAAACACACTGATCTCCTGTCACCGCTACCACCTGAAATTGTTTTATTTGCTATTTCCATTGTCACAGATCCTCTCCAGCAGAAGTGCGCGACAGTCAAGCAGTGGAAGGCGAGCGGCTGGGGAAACGCGTCCGCAAAAAGAGGAAGATCTACATGGAATCTGGTGATGAAGAGGAGGACAATCAAGAAGAACCAGAGGTGAACACAACACAACAGCACAGACACAGCTGTCTGCAATGCTTGCTTCATGTTTTTTTATGTGTATTAATGTTTTATTTAGTTAATTTTAGTTATGTTTTGAAAGAAATAGTTAAATATGTTGTTTTACTTTTTTGGTCTTATAGGAAAAGGCCAAGGCTACCAAAAGCAGGAGGGGAACCAAAATGGCCAAACTTGGTAGGTTTGGTTGTTGCTTGTAAATAAAACAGAAAATATAAAAAAAAATATATAATAAATAAATAAATGAAACTTTAAATAGAACTAAAAGCCAATGGGGGTTTGGTTTAGGGCAGGGATGTAACATAATGTGTTATCTTAGTTGCTCTAGATTTAAAGGACTAATGAAGATTGTTCATGGATAGAAAGGGAGATGGACATTTCCTGTGTATTACAATTTGAATCATTCATGGATACAATAAAAAAAATTTAATCAAAGTAGGTCTGAAAAAATACATTTTTTTACAGACTTCATTCTATATTCTCCATCCAACCACCCATAACTCTGGAAATGTTTAGTTTGGAAAAGAGAGAAATCTTGTTTTGGTGGATTTGTAGGATGTAATACATCAGGTAATCTGTCTGTCTATAACTGCGTTTCCATTAATCAGAATCAGAAATACTTTAATAATCCCAGAGGGAAATTACTTTTGTTACACGCTCCAGTTACAGTTATATATATATATATATATATATATACACATCCAACTACACAAGATAATAAAGATAAAAAGATAAAAACATATACAAATATAGCTCTTCTGTATATCCATATATGTATGTATATATATGCATATGTAAAACTAAATCCAAGTAAAGTGATAAATCCAAGTGAAGTGATACGTGGCGAAAATTCAAATTACTAAAATTGTAATTCCAAAAATAAATGTGCTAAATGGAAGCACTGCTATTTTGAAAAAAACTCAGGTTTCTAGGGTCATTTTCAGGATGCATCAAAATTATATTTCACAAACCTTCAATGGAAGCATTGTGATCTGAAACTGAATCTTACTTCCTTTTAAAAAGACAAAGGATGATGGCACAGCATATTTAGATTTATAAGGTAATATGGGTATATCTCATGTGTTTACATCTTGCCATGTTGTTTTAAGTTATCACCTGAACAAATGTATTCTTGTTCGTTTTTCATGGAAATACCGGAATTGCGAAAATTCCTCCTTTTTCTAAATTAGCTGAATATTGGCATAGTTTTGTGTATATCTGTAATGGAAATGTTTATTTTGTTTGTCAGTGACTACCATGGCCAATAAGAAGCGGGCATGGAGCTGGCCTGCCTACCTGGACGAGGGGCGAACTATTGCTGCACCTGTGAAACTTTTCAAAGAAGTACAAACTATCATTTTGCTTTTACTTTGTTTTTTTTCTGGTTTACTCTCGTGTTTATTTTGTCTGCTATAACTTTGTTGTGCATTTATGTTGCAGCATCAGTCATTTCCTCAAAGCAGGAACAGTTTTAAGGTTGGAATGAAGCTTGAAGGACTTGACCCATCTCACCCGTCTCTCTTCTGTGTGCTCAGTGTTGCAGAGGTGGGAATGATGCTTATGTCTGTTTTTTTGTCTGTCATTATTATATTTTCTTATCCAGATAGATGGGTTTTCATCTTGTCTTGCAGATCCAGGGTTACAGAGTTAGACTCCACTTCGACGGTTACCCTGAATGCTACGACTTCTGGGCTAATGCTGACTCGTGGGACCTGAAACCAGCTGGCTGGTGTGAGAAGAACGGACACAAATTGTTACTGCCTAAAGGTGGTCACCAAATTGTTTGTTTACTCAGCTTAAATTGTAACATATTTTGTTCTGAAAATGAAATAACTGGACCTGATGTTTAAACTGACCTGTAGGCTGTAAAGAGGGAGAGTTTAACTGGAGCATGTATGTGAAAAACTGCAGAGGCCAACTGGCTCCAAAGCACCTTTTCAAGAGCCTCAACACTGTGAGTTTTAACCAAACAATAAATGACTACATGATCTGATTCATTTATATCTGACTGTGTTGTCATTTATGTAACCCATGTCACTCTTGTTGTTGTAGTCTGTGACTCCTTCTGGATTCAGAGCGGGGATGAAACTGGAAGCAGCCGACAGGAAGAACCCTTCGCAGATCTGTGTAGCAACAATAGCTGCTGTTGTTGACAACCGCCTTCTTATTCATTTTGACAGCCTGGATGACACACATGATTACTGGTAGGTTTGTTACCCAGGTGTTTTTCTCCATCTGCATGCCAAAAGTTGAATTGTGAATCCTGTTTGGAAAAATGCAGTTCAATTATCTCTTGGATGTTTTCAATTGTTTCATGGTTAGTATTAGATGAATTTATTCCATAGATTTAACTTGTTTATATGTTGTTATGGAAGGTGTGATGCCAGCAGTCCATACATCCATCCGGTTGGTTTCTGTGCAGAAGCTCAGCTGACTCTAACAACTCCACCTGGTAAGACAATAAGTGTGTTTTTGAACAGTTACTGAATCATATAATCATTACTAATAGCTTACTGTTTTCACCGATCAATGGCAATAAAACTATAAAGGTCTGTGACAGAATTGCTTAAATAAAAGCACCAAAAGATACTGACTATGAGCAGATGGGGAATTCAATTGTGCATGTTGTCACTGTGTTAATAATTAGAGGTGTCTTAACTTTCGGCATCCTTTATGAGTGTTTTCAAAGGTTCCACTAATACTTTCTTGTTTCTTCTTAGAATATAAAGATTCCACAAATTTCTCATGGGAAAAGTATATGGAGGAAACGGGAACACAGGCTGCTCCTGCAAGAGCTTTCAAACCGGTACGGTTCTAACAAACAAACAAATATTTTTATTCTATTTAGTTTTGTCTCATAGACCAAAGAGGCATTGTTACCCTGCTAACTTACTATTAGAGGTTAATATTATCCTTAACATTTAAAAAAATATAACCTACATTGTTTTTATGAACTTAAAAATACACCAATAATTATATAACTAAATATCAGTGTTGCATTTTTTATCACTCAGCAGCACTGCAGTCTTATTGTTTCAGCCATTCTTTGGTATTAATTTACTTTTGATGAAAAGCTGAGCTGTCTGCTTGACTGGGAACCTATTTATTTATAATTCTCATATGTTTTCAAACTATTGCCTCTTTGCAGCGGCCTCCTCATGGCTTCCAGGTGGGGATGAAGGTGGAAGCAGTTGATAAAAGGAACCCCATGCTAATTCGTGTAGCTACTATTGTAGACACAGAAGACCACAGACTGAAGGTGCAATAAGTCTCCAGAGATGTTTTACATTACAAAGTCCCTCCATGCTTTGCTTGTGTGATTAATTTTTTATTTTTCTCGCCACTCTCTCTTAGATTCACTTTGATGGATGGAATAGTGATTATGACTACTGGATTGAGACAGACTGCCCCGATCTGCACCCTGTAGGATGGTGTCAGAAAACTGGACACCCGTTACAGCACCCCAACAGTGAGCCATGCTATTTGCTCACTTGACCTCACTTTCTGATTTTCATCTTAGCTTTCGATGCACGGGTTTCGCAGAAAGCATTGAACTATTGCCGCCTTGTGTTTTTATGTTTCAGGCACAAGTGATGTATTGCCTGCCCCAGGACAAGGTTGTCCCACCCCAGGATGCAACGGCGTGGGACACATAAGGGGACCTCGCTATGGGACACACTACACGTAAGTTGCCTTTTCCTTAGTCAGTGTTGTGTTGTATTAAGGGATAACATACCATCTGCAAAAGTTTGGGATATATTTGGGTTAATGAAGTTTGGATAGTATGGAAAGAGAAAATAACAGATGGACAAGTATTGGCGCATCCTTCCTTCCTCCTTTCAAATTTAACTACTTTATTCTGTCAATGTGGCACAATTTCAATGGAAGGACATTTAGGGACACTGTTTATAGTCATTAAGATGTTTTTGTCTTTAATGTGTTGGTAATACCCATCTGTCTAACTGAAGGAAAGTTCTTTATTTCAATTGCTCTTTAATTTACTCTTTTAAAATCTTTTCTTACTAAAAAGACCTGTTAATGGTCATTAAACCCTAGTAAGCGTTCCTCCCTTGTATATTCAAGGATTTCTTTTATTATCATAGCATCTCACACTTGCATGTTTGTGGTATGTGTGTATATATATATATATATATATATATATATATATATATATATATATATATATACATGGACAAAATTGTTATTGCCCCTCATTTTATAAAAGAAAATCCCACGTTGGTCACATAAATAAGTTGAATATGATTAAAGTAATAACAAATAAAATATCAATGAAAATGAAAAAAAAGGAAAATCAGACACTTCTTTTCAACCTTGCTTCAACAGAATTTTAAAAAATTGAACTCAACAAACAGGCTTGACAAAAATGATGATATCCTTAAATTTATATTTTTTTTTTGCACAACCTTCTGAGGCAGTCGCTGCAATCAATTGACTCCTGTTACTGTTAATGAGACTGCTGTTCCTCTCAGCAGGCATTTTGTTTCCACTCCTCATGAACAAACTGCTCCAGTTGTCTCTGGTTTGAAGGAACCTTTTCCAGACGGGACGTTTCAGCTTCTTCCAAAGATGCTCAATAGGATTTAGATCAGGGCTCATAGGAGGCCGCTTCAGAATAGTTATATGTTTTCCTCTTGGCCGTTCGTGGGTGTTTGTAGCTGTTTATTTTGGGTCATTATCCTGTTAAAAACCCAGGATCTGCGACTGACACCAAGCTCTCTGACCCTGAGCAGCACTTTTCTCTCGAGAATCCCTTGATAGTCTTGGGATTTCACCATGCAGAGATTTTTGCACCAAGCAGAGATTCTAGACACCCTGTGCCAGATGAAGCAAAGCAGCCCCAGAGCATAACAGATCCTCCTCTATGTTTCTCATTAGGGAAAGTGTTCTTCTTTTGATATACTTAATCTCTCAATTTGTGAACATAGTACTGATATTTGTTGACAAAAAGTTCAATTCTTGTCTCATCTGTCCATGGGAAATTCTCTTAAGAGGTTTGTGGTATCTTATGAACTTTGATAAATTCCAGTCTGGATTTTTTTCAATGTTTTCCTCCTTGGACGTCGTTCTTTAAGTCCTCTGTGGCTCAAACAATGATGGATGGCGCAATGTGAGAATGATGTTCCTTGAGCTTTAAGTTCAGCTTTAAACTCTAGAAGTTTTTCCTGATACCTTTTATTATAATTAAAATGATCTGTCTTTAGTTTTCTTCCTGCTGCCGGAGCAGTTGGCTACAGTCTCATAAATCTTACATTTCTTGATAATATGTGCAGCTATAGTCACAGGAACATCAAGCTGCATGGAGATGGTATTATAGCCTTTACCTTTGACATGATTGACTATGATTTTCTCTCTAATCTCCAGAGACAACTCTTTCCTATACTTCCTCTGGTCTATGTTGAATGTGGTCACAGCACAGTGGCTATCTGCCCTACATATAGACCTGCTGACTGATTACAAGGCTGTAGACACCTTTAATTGTAATTAGTGCACACACCTTGATTTAACATCTTTCTTTGGTTTTATTATTTTCAGTTTTTCCTCGGACTGCCATCGTTAAAAGCAATGCCTTACTTTCATTTTTGTAATTTTCATAAAATTACCTAATATTTCATTTGTCATATTCAAGTTTTATTTGTGTAACCATTGTGTGTTTTACTTTCATTAAATAAGGGTTACAGTTTTGTCCATGTCCATAAAGTAAAATCTTTTCCTATTTTTATTTAGCAATGGCAGAAAAAGAGGACAGAGCCTCTGTGTTCTCAGATGTCAATAATATTTGTGTGGGTGGGTAGCAGTCTAAATGTGTTGCTGCTCTCTGTGTTTGTGAGAATCAAAGTGATAATGGCAGCCTCCACCTCCTATTTGTTGCAGTATGTTCGATGCTAAAATGCTAAATAAATGTAAAGTGCTGTTTTTTGTATAACGGGAAGAAATGTGGATCTTCTTCTTGTGTGCAGCCAGGTGAGCTGCCCTTACTCTGAGATAAACCTGAACAAGGAGGGTTTGTTGCCCGATCGTCTCGGCGGAGAGCGGCCTCCTGTCCTCAATGTACCTCCACCACGGGGGCGGCGCCCCGAACCTCATCCAAACAATCCGCCTCAAAATCCATCAGCACCAGTACAGACTGACCCACCTGCGGAATCACCAAGCAGGTTTGTTCCTAAACAAATGTGGGAAGTTTTAACAAAAAACAAGCAGCCCAGTTAAAAAGCTCACCAACATGACAGTGGTGCTGAAAGGCTGGAGGCTTCAATAGATTTAACCTCACCTTGGTTCTGCAAATGATTTCGATTGGCACTAATATAGTGCTTTGATAAACTACCATATATTTATACAGATATTTGAAAGGATTTGTATCTGAAACTAGTATCTCTGTTGCTAGGAAACCAATGACTGGAGAAGCTGAGCTTCCAGAGTGCAACAACAAATCCGAGCCACTGAGTGGAGCCAACGAGCAAAGCACCAATGGAACACGGCCTAAACGGTAGCTGCCTGGCAATAATTCCTCTCCGCTGAGCCAAAAGTATCTTCTGAACTTTTGTCTTGTGTTTTCTTGTTTGGCTTCAGGATGGCTCCACTTCCCAAGTACCTAACAATGCACTATGTCAAGGATGAGATTAGTGATGGAAAATGTAAGTGGGGGGGCTTAGAAAGTGGCAAAAGGAAGCCAGCACATCAATGCTGCATCCCACTGACTGCTGTTCTGTTCTCTGTCTGCAGCTTCTCCAGAAACCATATCCCTGCAGCAAGCGCTCCACGAGTCTGTGTTCTCCCCCGGCATCGCCGCCTCTCCCCCGCACAGAGTGGCTCTGTGCTGGGACAAACACTGCCAGCTACTGCCTGAGGTCCTGGGTCTGACCGCCAAGAGAGTGGCCGCTTGGAGTGCAGAGGAGGTCAGACATGTTTACAAACTAAGATCAGACATGCTTCTCATTCACTAATCCAACAGGAAGACAACTAGAGGTTCAGAAGAACGCCAGCTGCTGATGAATCTTCCACAAGAGCTTTTCTGGTCTCTTGGATTCAATGATCATCATCTAGGTTTAACAAAAGCACCAAAAGGGTGTTTACATCAGAAAATAACTAGAAATATACGAAAAGATTGAATAATAACCTTTGAAGATTTTCAGTTTGAATTGAACTGGCTGCTGACAGTCAAATTTGATACTCAGAAATATCTTTTCTCTCTTAGCATAGTTGTAGCATTAGCATTACAAAAACTAAAAATAAGTACAAATTTCTTAAAATAAGTGTATTTGCACCTAATTGGAGTACATAAATAAGATGATCTGCCAATGAAATGAGTATTTTTACTCTTAAAATAAGATCATTAGACAATATGAACTTGAATTAAGACAATGTAATTGGGTTTTTTTTATTTGAAATGTAAATTGTCTTGTTCCATTGTCAAGGAGTCTCACCTGTTTAATTCAAGAAAAAAAGCACTTTGAGAAGAATTGACTTACTTGGATTGACATTTTTATTTCAGTGAGCCAACTCTGACAACGCCCTTCAGTGAGGAGGCTTTTGCCAAGCCAAAAAAGACAAAGCTAACTACTTTTGTGATCATTGGGAAAAGTCAAGAAAAGTGCAGAACTGTAGAAGCATTTGGAAAGGAAACTGCATTTGAAGGCATCCTGAGATCTGTCTGCCCTTATACAGGCCAAGATAGAGCCAGACATCAGGATAGCTGGAATGTTGCCATGTTTCTTTATTTGACCCCTTTTTTTTATTTTATTTACCTTTCCACCCTTTTTTGCTTAAGAAAACAGTTGAAAGCGTTTTGGACGTTTCAAGTTAAGATTAGGTTCTAAATCCTTCAGGGAAAAGTCTCAAAAGCCGATCCTAGAGGGCATCCTGCAACTTGTAGATGTCTGTGATTCAGTGAAGGGAAATGAAAAGATAACGTCATTAGAATGACTCCTTCCCTTTGTATGCAGAAAAGGCTCTGATATCTAACACCCCCCTGCTTTTAGGGACTAGATGCTTGTTTTCAAACTCTAGTCTAACCAACTAGGCTAAACACTACAAAAATCAAATTAAAATCTATTTTTTTATCTTTTTTACTAAAAACCCTGATTCACAGCAGCGGCTCTCTCTCACTCAGGCTGCGTGATGCTGCCTTTTCTCCTGGACTAAATAAGTCCTGACAGTTCATCGCCACAACGCTACAGGAAATATTTTCAATGCTGTGTGCCTGTCTTTTTCTATTATAGGTCTTATCGCAGCCTGAATCAGATTAAATAAGTATAGGAATGTTGAGTTTGGAAATTAGGGACAACACTATGATACATGCATCTTCACAGATGAACAGTAAAGGAATGAAATGTTGCCCTAAACAAGCTCACTTTTCTCTTGTTTTCTTGTCATGTAGGTGGCTGGTTTTGTTAAAGGACTTCCAGGATGTAAAGAACATGCTGCTACTTTTAAAACAGAGGTGAGCACTTCCTTTTTCTCTAGAGGAACAATACAGTTCCATAAGTTAGAGATCTGGCATTTTAAAGTGCCTCTATTGTTCCAAATGTTTTTCTGCTCCTATAGAGGAGGTTCTCCTCCAACCTGACTGGTTTCCACTTTAGTTTTCATGAAGCAGTTTGGGACAGGAGCTCTAATAAAGAGACTCTGCAGCAATAATTTATTGTTGTGACCGGGCGTGTTTAATATTTCATTATCGCTGGCAGTGGTGTGTTGTCTGGTGTTTTGGGGGCCTTAGTTTGCACACGTTTCCTAATTTATGCAGGTTTGAGCCTTTTCAGGGAAAACGTGCAAGATTTGTAATGAAATGTTTCTTGCTTATAAAATACTTGATTAATTTAATCGAAGAAATTTGAAAATAAATTGTCACATTAAAGCATGCTTCCATCTTGGTGGAAGTCTATAGTAGATCTGCCATTCGCTTCTCTCTGAAGCTTCATAGCACCTTTCTACCAAAATTCTATCTTCATCAAAGAACAACCTCCCCCAAGCCTGATGCAGCCCCCACCGTGTTTCCCTTTACCTTTAGCAATTTGAAAGGTTGAAATAGTTTTGAAATTTTCATTGGTTTTTAGTATTAACTTCTGATTTTCAATTCTATTTTAGTTTTAATTCATTTTTAGTGTTTGTTAATTTTGTTTTGTTTTTTGGGGGTTTCAGTTATAGGTTTAGTATTTTATATAATCCATCTTGTATAATGAGGGCTAGACAAAAAAAAATAAAATAATAAAATCCAATATAAGGCTATATACATCTGCAGAAACACAAATAACCTGCAACTGAAAACTGGGCCTTATATTAGTGCATTGTGATAAAGATACAAATAAAACTAAGCACATTCTTTAATGTCGTTTTTTTTTTTTTTTTTTTTTTTGCAAGGTCTGGTGGTTTTTATCTTTATTTCAGTTAAAACTTTTTTTTTTTTAATTCTAGTTTTCGTCATTTCTTTAGTTGCAGCTAATGATAATTACTTTGGCAATTTGCATGTTGGCCATAAATATCAGTTTCGGTCTAATCTGACAAGAGAAGCTTCCTTCAAACATTTGGCTTTATCCTCTACATCAGCTGTGATAGTTTTTAAAATCCATTTTTTGCTTCAAACCTCTTTGAATCCCCCTCCCTGAGTATTCTGCTCTGTTAATCTAATTTTTAATCTAAAGTTTTTCATCTGACCTTTGGTAGGAACACTTTTCCAAAAGACTGTATATCATCTTTGCTAACTGTATATGAGGTCTAAAGAAACGTTTTCCTTCAAAACTCATGCATTTAGTTTGTAGGTTTATACATTTGTACATCTGAATTTATTTAACTGCTTTAATATAAAAAAATGAAGAAAATAATTCTTTTTCTCTCTGTCTATTCAGCAAATTGATGGCGAGGCCTTCCTGCTTCTCACCCAAGCAGACATCGTTAAGATTCTGTCCATCAAGCTCGGACCCGCTTTAAAGATCTACAACTCCATCCTCATGCTGAAGAATGCAGACGAAGAGTGAGACCTGACCTAAGGGGGTGGATCTCTTCCCCCATCCAGGTCCTCCAGTCGATCCACTCAGCCGTGGCTCAACATCGGACCTTTGATTAACAAAAGAGAATTCAACCAGAACAAGGCCAGTTCGCTTTGTTGTGCAATGGTGGAACTACCAGAGAGGAAAGGAGAAAGAGAAAGCCTTTGACTGGAAGGTTTCCATTCTCTCCCCTCTTTTTCTCTACGACAGCCAGCTTTAGAGAGTATTTTAAGACACCATACGGATTTACTAACCTGATTTGTGTTTGTTTACAGAATCTTAAAAACATGCAGGAGCCTTTAAGGCTTCTTAATATTGTACAGTTTACAGATTGGATTTATTGTCCCAGTTGTTGGATTACTTGTTTGTGAAGAAAGGATGTTCTGGCCGGCAAAACTAGTTTGTTTTGTTTGTTTTGCTGGTTTGTTTGTGAGTTTTTTTTTGGTTTTTTTAAAGCTGCAAAATACAATCATAAAAATATGGGGGAGATTTTAAAATGTGAAACCTTGTGGCGGAGAGGCACCTAAGTTTTTCTCCAATAAATTGGAAAGGGATGACTGCTTGGTAGGCTCAAAGAGCAAAGTGTTTGGTTAATCCAGAGCAGGAGATCCTTAAAACCAAGTCTTTGTTTGTCTGTAGATATGATTAAGTATGTTTGAGGAATGGAGACGCAGTTTCCCACCATCCTGTGTAGGATGGGTTTCTGGTCAACGGATTGTTTTTGGAGCGAACAGCAAGGATGGACTCGCTAAATCAAGGAACCCTCCTGCCTCTAGAGATGAAACGGATGCTGAACCAGCTGCTTTTGGTTTGTTCTTGTAGCAACACATGAATATGAATGTTAAACAACTCCAAGTTGTTTTGGTATCCATCTTATTCTGTTGTTCAAATAAGCTCTAACTTTAAATGTAAATACAACTAAAATAAGAAACCTATCTCTCTCCCTGCCTTGGTTTAGTCCTGCTTCATTATGCAAAGACTAATAATCTGAGTGTTTGGGCAAAGAAGACATGAAAGCAGTGAACTGATTAAAAACAAAATATTTTAATGATAAGGGGAGAGCCTTTGTTGGAGTGTTTGTAAATATGCGTGTACCACAGCGAGTTGGATGTTTACATCAGTTACTGTTGATATGCAAACAGCTTTTATTTATGTTTTGTAAATTATAGAACAACGGTACGCTGCTCTGCCTCCTCTAATGGAACGTGTGAACGGGAGACAATAAATGAAATGCACACTTTTTGCTGTCCTTATTGCACCCCAGCCAAGCCATAAACCCACAGATCATTTGAAGCGTCGCTCCAGGTCTATTTGCCATCTGTGGCACACCAACCCACTGGTTCTTAATGCTCTGTCAAACTGCATTTGACAGATCCTTTGAGTCCAGCAGAAGTCTAAAAATCATCCAGTATTTCTATTTTTTTGTGTGTGTGTGTTTGGGTAAATCTAAAGCAACACCTAGTGATTAAGAAGCCCAACCTTTTAGTGAAGCAGGATTATCTGTTTTTGTTCTTTTTTTTTTAGTCTCAACATATTTATTTATTTATATGCTGGCTACAAAAACAAGCCACATAGG